TCGAACCTGGGACCCTTCAGTCCGCAGGCTGACGCTCCATCCACTGAGCCAAGCCGGCCAGGGCTAAAAATATATTTTTTAAAAAAGAATTTACTTGGGCCAAACTGATGACATATGCCAGGGAGCAAGATCATAAATGCTCTCCAGCACTTGACAGTTTGCAGAGCCCTCACACTCACTGGCTCCACCTGAGATCCCAAAGGAGTGCTGCACGCAGCAGCGCACAACAAACGGACAAACAAGAGAAAAAGAGTGACAAGCTTTTTTCCTCTTTGCAAAGCAATGTGTATTCTTTACAAACAACTTAGAATTGTGCTGCCCCATGCAGTTGCCACTTACTGCACGTGACTTTTTATTTTATTTTATTTTCAAATGTACTTTTTATTGATTTCAGAGAGGAAGGGAGAGGGAGAGAGAGATAGAAACATCAATGATGATAGAGAATCATTGATCGGTTGCCTCCTGCACACCCCATACTGGGGATCCAGCCCACAACCCGGGTATGTGCCCTGACCAGGAATCGAACCATGACCTCCTGGTTCATAGGTCACGCCGGCTGGGCCTGCACGTGGCTTTTAAAAATAAAATTAATTAAAATTAAATGGAATATAAAAGTCAATTCCTCAGTCTCACTAGCCACCTCTAAAGTGCTCAATAGCACCCACTGGTATGGCTCAGTGCTTGAGCGTTGACCCATGAACCAAGAGGTCACTGGTTCGATTCCCGGTCAGGGCACATGCCTGGGTTGTGGGCTCAATCCTCAGTGGGGGGCGTGCAGGAGGAAGCTGATCAATGATGTTTCTATCTCTCTATCCCTCTCCCTCTCTCTCTAAAAAATCAAGAAAAACGTATTTAAACAAAAGTACAGTGCTCGGTAGCCACACGTGGCTCGCGGCCACCGTACTGGACAGTGCGGCCGGAGAACGTTCCCATCGGGCAGAAAGTTCTGTGGGACACACTGATTTATGACACAAGCAAGCAGAGGGAAGGGGAAAAACACCTGCAATTCCATTTCCCAAAGAAAACGACTGCTAACGTGTTGGCGTGGATATTTCCAGTGTTTCCTATGGGCGGGCATTATATATTGTTGTTTCCTCTTTTCCTTTTTTCAAAAATGGCTTAATCCTGTACAAACTGTTTTACGGCCTGTTTTTTCACTTATCAAAGGACTATAACATCTTTTCTATAACACTTATTTTTTAAAAAACAATAGCCCAATATTTGTATGACTACCACAATTCATGTATCCAATTCTCTATTCATAGGTATTTGTGTCACATTCCCTTTAAAAAAACAACAACTATCTGGGTACTTTTTAAAGATTTATTTAGCCCTGGCCAGTTTGGATCAGTGGATAGAGCGTTGGCCTGTGGACCAAAGGGTCCCAGGTTTGATTCTGGTCAAGAGGGTGTGTGCAGGAGGCAATGTATTGATGTGTTTCTCTCACATCGATGTTTCTCTCTGTCTTTCCCTCTCTTTTCCACTCTCTCTCAAAATCAATGGAAAAATATCCATGGGTAAGGATTCAATAAATAAATAATTTAAACATTTTGTGTGACAAGAGCTGTATTTTATTTTGAAATCTACGTCATTATTTTTTTTGTCAAAGCAGTAGATGCTCATTGGAGAAAATTAAAGAAAATACATAAAGTGTAAAGAAGAAAAAATCCTCAAATCATTCTACCCCAAAATAACCACATTTTCTTTCAACTTTTTAATTGTAAGGTATTTTTCCCAAACACACGGGAAGGTTAAAGACTAGCACAATAAACACTCATACACCCACCACCTCGAGTCAACAATTGAAACCACCACATTTTAAACATGTTGGCATCCTCTTTCTAAACATCTTCCTGGATCTAAACACATACAGATATGTAAATATAGGAACGACGTCACGCTTTACTTTGTTGTTCGGCAATTTAAAAACTTTTTTATTTTTAATAATACATCACAAATATCTTCTCACGTTTCACTAAACATTTTTCCACAGCGTCATGTTCAATGGCCACTTAGGTTCCATTGTATGGAGCGAAGACAATTTTCATAACCAACCCCCTGTGGTTGGGCATTGATGTTTCCAACTTTTCACTATCCTATATAATAAAAGCCCAGCAGCCATAATGGCGTAACGACCAGGACAACTGCTCCACCAGTAGCTATGAGGTACATTGACCACCTCTTGGTCTCCCCCCCTCCCCTCCGCTGGGCCCGCAGGCTCCGATCTCTGGATGGTGTAAGGGGAACTGGGGTGGGTGGCAGTGGAGCGGAACTGGGGTCTGGTGAGGGGAACGGGGTGGGTGGCGGTGGCGGGGTGGGACTGGGGCCTGGCGAGCGGATAGAGATGGCCCTGATCGCAGGCTAGGCCTGGGGACCCTACCTGCTCACGATTTCGTGCGCTGGGCCTCCAGTAATGAAAATAAAAGTTCAATGAACGTCCCTGTGTCCTGTTGCCTTTGGGTGACAAACTCCTTAGACTGGAGGGAGATTCAGGGGCAGGAGGACATGCCTTCCACGATGGTTGTGACGAAAATGCAGGAGACGCTCCAGTTCCCACATCCTCACCAAAGCTTTTTTTTAAAAAAATATATTTCATTGATTTTTTTACAGAGAGGAAGGGAGAGGGATAGAGAGTTAGAAACATTGATGAGAGAGAAGCATCGATCAGCTGCCTCCTGCACACCCCCAACTGGGGATGTGCCCGCAACCAAGGTACATGCCCTTGATCGGAATCGAACCTGTGACCCGTCAGTCCCCAGGCCGACGCTCTATCCAGTGAGCCAAACCAGCCAGGGCCTCACCACAGCTTTTAGGCTCCGAGCAACTGTGTGTTTACATTACATTCTATATTTCCATCCCTGCCTTTCTCTCCAGAGATGATCTTATTTTGATTGCTCTTTTTGGGATTTCAGAACCTAGCACAACAGCTGGCACGTGAGACACTCAGTAAATGTATGTTGAATGTGTGGTGGCTCCATCTCACAGACGGAGCCCAGAGAGGGGCGTGACCCAGAGAGTGAAGTGGAAATTCATCTTCCTGGGGATTCGGTTTTAAAGTTGGCACATAAATAAAATACCCCATAAACTATGTGTTGAATGAGCAAATGTTTGAAAACCCTGTAGGAAGATGCCACCGTCGATACCAACAAATAGCTTCCCAATTGTTCACACACTTTCGTTCATTTAACACGTATTTCTTCAGCATCACCTAGCAGCCAGGCACCGTTCTGGATAACACAGCAGAGGATGTCACAGAGCCTCTGCCTCTGTGCAGCTGACATTCTAAGGGGAGACATACGATAGACAAATCAGCGAGAAAATGCTTAGCATGTCCATTCGATGATGATGGGTGCTATGCGGAAACGTGAAGCAGGAGAGGGGCTAGACAGTGGCAGAGGGGAAGGGATGCTGTTTTATGGGGGGTGGCCAGGAAAGCAGAGGTGGGCCCTGTGGATGGATGAATGGGCCAGAGTCGTCCTCTCTAGGGAGCAGCAAGAGCAAGTGCAAAGGCCCTGAGGTGCAATTGTGTTTGTTTGCTCCAGGAGCAGCAGGGATGCCAGTGTAGCTGAGCTGAGGGGAGGGACAGCAAGAGGAGCTGAAATAAGGAGGGTGTGCATGGCTCACGGAGGACCTTCAGGAAATGGAAGGGTGTTAGGATTTTCTTTGAGGAAAGGTGTTAGAATTTTCTTTATTTCTTTTTTCAAACACTGAAGGGTTTGAAAAAAGAAATAAAGTCATTTGACTCATGTTACTAAAAGACATTGCTGGCTATGAGATGGAGACCAGAACATGGAGGGCAGGGCAAGGGCGGAAGCAGGGTGCTCTGTGGGGAGGTTGTTACACAAATCCAGGCAAGAACTGATGGTCCCAGACACAGGTAACAGCCATGGAGGTGGTGAGGGTCAGATTACGGGCATCTTTAGAAGGCAGGGCTGGTGGTATTTGTGCTGGATCAGATATGGGCATAAGAGAAATCAAGGACAATCTGAGTAGTGGTGTGAGCAACAGGAAGGATGGAGTTGCCATTTTCCCAGATGGAAAAACCAAGAGAGGATGAGGTTTAGAGGTAAAAATTAAGAGATCCGCCAGGCCAATGTGGCTCAGTGGTTGAGCATCAACCTATGAACCAGGTCATGGTTCAATTCCCAGTCAGGGCACATGCCAGAGTTGTAGGCTCGATCCCCAGTGCAGGAGGTAGCCAATGATTCTCTCTCATCATTGATGTTTCTATCTCTCCCTCTCCCTTCCTCTCTAAAATCTATATATATAAAAGCCTAAGTGACCGGCCAACCGTTCGACCATCTGACCTGTAGTTATGATGCGCACTGACCACTGGGGGGCAGACGCTCAATGCAGGAGCTGCTGAGCTGTGGTGATTTGGCAGCTGTGGTTCTCAGGTGACACACCCAGAACCAGAGAGGAGGGAGCTCGATTCTGGAGTGTGTCACCCGAGAACTGCCCTCTCACAATCCAGGACCCCCTGGGGGATGTAGAGCCGGTTTCAGCCTGATGATCCCCACAGGCCAGGCCAAGGGACCCCACCTAGTTATATATATGAGTTCAGTTTGGCTGCATTAAGTGGGAAGGTCTGGGCTGAAGAGGCAAATCTCGAGTCATCAGTGTACTAGGCATATGAAAAGCCTTGGGACCAATGGGAGCTCACTGGGAAAGGCAGTGAGGGAAGTGGAGAGGTCCAAGGGCCAACCTGCAGGGAATGCCAGCATGTGGACACCAGGAAGATGGGGGAGAAGGAGACCAGACAGGGGTCCTGTGAGGTGAGAGGGGAACCGAGAGAGTGGGGTCCGGGAAGATACAGGAAGGACGTGCACCTGTAGGAGGGCTCAATCACCTGGTCAGATGCTGATGGTGAGGACCGAAAAGTTACCGTTACATTGGGCAGCACAAGGTCATCGATGACCTTGACAAGAGCAGTCTCAGTGGAGTGGTGCGGGTGAAAGCCCAACTAGCGTGAGTTGAAGAGAGAAAGGGAAAGGAACAATTAAGATTGTCCATCTGGCCTGGCCACCATGGCTCAGTGGTTGAGCATTAACTTATGAACCAGGAGGTTATGGTTCGATTCCAGGTCAGGGCACATGTGCAGGTTGCGGGCTTGATCCCCAGTGTGGGGGTGTGCAGGAGGCAACCGATCAATGATTCTCTATCATCATTGATGTTTCTATCTCTCTCCCTCTCCCTTCCTCTCTGAAATCAATAAAAACATATTTTTTTAAAAAGATGGTTGATCAGGAAAGCTCTTGGACAAGTTTTAGTGTAAAGAGAAGCAGAGAAAAGTGTCCTTGACCGCATGCATGTGTAGTGTGTTTAAGGCGGGATGGGTTAAACATCCCGTGACTGTGTGCCGATGGGAATGAACCAGAAGGGGAGGAAACCCAAGGCTGCTGGACGGAGAGGGGCTGCTGGAGGGTGGCCTGGAGTAAGCAAGGGGACCCAGTGCAGCCAAGTGGAGGGCGTGGTCTTAGCAGTAAACCTGGGGGGAGGGGGGGGGCAGAGAACCCGCACAGAAGTGGCAGGTGAGTGGAGGCTGAAGTGGGAGAGTGGGGAAGTTTCCTCCCGTCGCCTCTGTTTTCCCAGTGAAACAGGAAGCAGGGTTAGCCATCAGCTGGCCGTGACTACGGCAGGTCCTTTCTCTGGTGTTGTTACAGACAGCCGTGGCTTCCACTGACACCAGATGGAACGGTTGGCTTGTATTTAGAGGCACACGGTATATAAAACCTTGGAATCCCTGAATCACGCTCGGCATGGAAAGAGCCCACACTCTGCTGGGCGTGGGGCAACTGGGGACCGATGGGTTGGGAGGGGGGAAGGGGCTGTTGGTAGGTCCCATGACATCGTGTCCCCATCAAGGTGTGAGAGCTCACGGGGTAGGTGGGAGCGTGACTCGGCAGCAGTGACTCAGGCATCTCGCTCTCTTCTCTCCTTCTCCTGCGCTTGAGTGTGTTAGTTAAATGCCCTGGGACGAGGACCCCGCTGTAAATGTCCCAGCCGGAACCTCAGGCCTCCTGGTTTTCACTCTTCCTTGCTCCTCTGTCTCTCATCATGTGTAGTCAGGGAACAACAGAATTTCAGGAAAGCGAGGGACCTGGAGAGGTCAAAAGGAGGAAGAGAGAGTCTAAATCAGAGAATCCCAGGACATCAGAGCTGGGCTGGTCCCACAGGTCATCTGGTCCAACAATCTTATTTCACAGGTTTATTTTACATCTTTATTTTATTTTTCAGCTCAGGCTGGAGAGGTTCAGTGACTCGCCCAAGATCACGCAGCACAATCCCTGTCATCCCCACCATCATCATCACTGTCATCACCATCATCACCATCACAATGGCAGCCGGCCCGTGTGGGTCACTCCCTGATGTCAGGCTTCATCTCCTTTCATCCTCACGGCCTCTCTGAGGTGGCTACTCTGGTCCTTTTAATTTTACAGGTGGCAAAACCTCACAGAGCAGGTAAGGCACAACCTGGGAGACCCTCCTCTCACCCTCTGTAAAAATGCTGACCAGAGCCCTAACCGGTTTGGCTCAGTGGATAGAGCATCGGCCTGCGGACTGAAGGGTCCCAGGTTCGATTCCGGTCAAGGGCATGTACCTTGGTTGCGGGCACATCCCAGTAGGAGGTGTGCAGGAGGCGGCTGATCGATGTTTCTCTCTCATCAATGTTTCTAACTCTCTATCCCTCTCCCTTCCTCTCTGTAAAAAATCAATAAAATATATTTAAAAAAAATAATGACCAGAGACCTCACATGGGGCTGATAACCCTCAGGTCTGAGGCGGAAGGGGGCTCCCCTTGAAACTCAAAAGCAGTAAATTTAAGATCAATAAAGGGAAGTTTTGCTTTGCGCAGAAGGGTTACTGACTAAAATTACTAGTAGTAATGAGAAGTATTTAGATGAATTCATAGATAGTTGAGCCTCACAGGGCAGTTGAAGTGACCTTTTAAAAACATAAACCAGGTCACAGCACTCCACGGCCCAAAGCCTCTCAGTCACTGCCCTCAGAATCAACCTCAGACCTTTCCCCCGGTGGCTTCCTTCCGCACCATCCTCTCCTGCCTCCACCTCCTTGCGCACTTGGCTCCAGCCAGGCTGCTCTCCTTGCAGCCTCTTGGATTCGCCATGTTCTTCCGGCCCCAGGGCCTTTGCACATGTCCTTTACTCTAATGGGCTACTCTCCCCTGCTCTTTGCCTGAGTGGCTCTTTCTCAACCTCCACACCTCAGCCTAAATGTCACCTCCTTCAGAGGGCTTTCCCTGCATGACCACCAGCTGGGCCAGTGCCCGGTCAGTCTGTCGTGTCACCGTTTGGTTTTCTTCCTTGCCCTTATCGCGAGCCACATTATTTTATGTATGTATGTATGTATGTATGTATGTATGTATGTATGTGTTTATTTACTTGTTTTGTGTCCACTTCTTCCACTGGACAGGGAGCTCCATGCGGGCAATGTCCTTGTCTTCTTTTCACCCCCATGTCCCCAGGACAAGTCCCCTGCTGGCATAGTGCCCGGCATGTAACTAGTGGTTCAGCACTGACTGTGTTGGATATAGTCCTACATGCTTTTCTATGAATTAACTCATTTGGTCCCTACACATTAACCCTGTAAGAGAGGTAAGGAAACTAATGTACAATTTGCTAGAAATTTACCCACAGTTATAGCTAGTGAGTGGCAGAGAAGAGCTTAAAATCCAGGCGGGGGGCTCCAGGTCTACACTCTTTTGTTGTTGTTGTTGTTAATCCTCACCCGAGGATATTTTTCCATTGATTTTTGGAAGAGAGAGGGAACGACAAAGAGAAACATCGATGTGAGAGAAACACATTGATTGGGTCGCCTCCTGCACGCGCCCTGACCAGGGCCTGCAACCAAAGTACCTGCCCTTGACCGGAATCAAACCAGGGACCCTTTGGTCCCCAGGACCAAAACAACACTCTATCCACTGAGCCAAACTGGCAAGGGCCAGAGTCTACACTCTTTTTTATTTTTAATATATATTTTTATTGATTTTAGAGAGGAAGGGAGAAGGAGAGAGAAATAGAAACATCAATGATGAGAGAGAATCATCAATTGGCTGCCTCCTGCACAACCCATACTGGGGATGGAGCCCACAGGGCATGTGCCCTGACTGGGGATCGAACTGTGAACTCCTGGTTCATAGGTTGATGCTCAACCACTGAGCCATGCTGGCCAGGCCAGAGTCTACACTCTTAACCATAACTCTCTACTCCCTCTCCAATACATTTGAGGAATGAATGAATGAATGAATGAGAGGCAAAGGGATTGGTGTAAAGGACCCTAGAATCAAATAGATGTGGGTTTGGGATCCAACTTTGTCTCCTGTGAACTTCCCTGAGAATACTTCAAAGCAATAAGAAATAAGTAAAAACCTTTTTTTTAAAAAAAAAAAGTGGGCAAAAGGCTTGAACAGGAAATTCACTGAAAAAGAAACCAGAATGCAAAATAAACAAATGAAAAGATGCTCCATCTCATTAGGGAAATGCAAATGAAGACTGAGGAAGAAGTCTGATCATACTGAATGCTGGTGAGGGTGTGGAGCAACCGGAACTCTCATGCCCTGTGGCAGAGGAAGGGGAGAGGGTGCAGGGGTACAAGCACGTAGGAAAGCAATCGGCCGCACTTGTAAAGCTAAACGCGAGCAGACTTGATGACCCACAATTTCAATCTTAGGCATGTAGCTTAGAGAAAGTCCCCATGTGTGTGAGTGTGTGTGCACCAAGAGACATGGTAGAAGAACGATCATGGCAAAACACTAGAAACAACCTACATACCCACTGACCAGACAAAGGATAAAGTAGCCGTCTATTTAGACAATGAGTACTAGACAGCTGGAAAAAATGAGTGACAGCTAAAATGCAAAATTGTGGCCCTAACCGGTTTGGCTCAGTGGATAGAGCGTCGGCCTGCAGACTGAAGGGTCCCAGGTTCAATTCCGGTCAAGGGCATGTACCTTGGTTGCGGGCACATACCCAGTAGGGAGTGTGCAGGAGGCAGCTGATCGATGTTTCTCTCTCATTGATGTTTCTAACTCTCTATCCCTCTCCCTTCCTCTCTGTAAAAACAAACAAACAAACAAACAAAAAAACAATAAAAAAAAAATCAAGCCAATGAGGAATGCATGTGCATTATACTATTTATATGAAGGTCAAAAAGCAAACAAAACAATATGTTGTATAGGATTCATTCCCATATGGTGACAGTATTTTTTTCCAAAGCGTTAAGTGGGGACCACAAATTAAGGATTGTGTGGGCCTTTGGAGTGCGGCAAGGAATAGAAGTGGAAGGCTCACAGGTGGCTCCAACAGGGCTGGTGAAGTTCAAGTTCCTAAGTTGGGGCAGTGGATTCGTGGATGTTTATTTTCACAAACAAGACATTCATCTGACATTTTTTGTATTCATCAAATATTACATAATAAGCGCTAGCCGGTTTGGCTCAGTGGATAGAGCATTGGCCTGCGGACTGAAGGGTCCCAGGTTCGATCCCGGTCAAGGGCACATGCCAGGGTTGCGGGCTTGATCCCCAGTAGGGGAGTGCAGGAGGCAGCAGAGCAATGATTTTCTCTCATCATTGATATTTCTATCTCTCTCTCCCTCTCCCTTCCTCTCTGAAATCAATAAACATATATTTTAAAAATATATTACATAATACAAAATTTAAACTTCTGTAGTTCCCAGGGTTGTTGTAAGAACCAAATGGGAGTGTGAGTAGAGTTGATTGTTCATTCAACAAGCACCCACCGTATGACAGGCACCCTGTTAGACACCAGGAAAGACACAAGAATTGAAAACACGATCCAATTGGGAGGAGGTGGCTCCAGGTCAGAGCAGTGAAGAGCACCAGCTTTGGAGCTAGGGAGACCTGGGTACGAATCCCGACTCTGCTACTTACTAGCTGTGTGACCTTGGGCGAGTTACCCAACCCCCCCGCTTCCTCAGTTTTCTCATGAGGCGGAGATGAAGCTGTAAAGACAAGTGACTTGCCATGATATTGAGCACTTAGTATGAGCTCAGTGAATGTCCCTGCTGGTGCTCCATGCTGAGGAGGTAGTGTGGAGAGGAAGGTGCCACTCTGCCCAGGTGAGCATTACATGGGAAGAGAAGGGTTGGATGCTGAAGTTCGGATTGTAAACTGAAGGCTCCAAGGCAGTGGTTCTCAACCTTCTGGCCCTTTAAATACAGTTCCTCATGTTGTGACCCAACCATAAAATTATTTTCTTTGCTACTTCATAACTGTAGTGTTGCTACTGTTATGAATCGTAATGAAAATATCTGATATGCAGGATGGTCTTAGGCGACCCCTGTGAAAGGGTCATTCGACCGCCAAAGGGGTCTCGACCCACAGGTTGAGAACCACTGGTTTAGAGCAAGACAGGGATAGGATTGGTGTCTCAGAAAGATCCCCTGGCTGAAGTGACTGGAGCCAGGAAGGCTGTTTAAGAAGCTGTTAGCTGCTGTAGCTGGTTTGGCTCACTGGATAGAGCGTTGGCCTGCAGACTGAAGGGTCTCAGGTTCGATTCCAGTCAAGGGCATGTACCTTGGTTGCGGGCACATCCCCAGTGGGGGGTGTGCAGGAGACGGCTGATCGATGTTTCTAACTCTCTATCTCTCTCCCTTACTTTCTGTAAAAAATCAATAAAATATATTTTTAAAAAAGAAAAAAAAAAGAAGCTGTTAGCCCTAGCCTGTTTGGCTCAGTGGATAGAGCGTCAGCCTGCAGACTCAAGGGTCCCAGGTTTGAGTCCAGTCAAGGGCATGTACCTTGGTTGTGGGCACATCCCCAGTG